CCAGGGCGTCTGAGGCCAGGGCCTGCTGCTAGCTGCTGACCTCCCCACAGAGAGCAGGGCCTCTTCGCTGGTGATGCCGCCCCCAGGGGACATGAGGTCCTGTGTTAGGACCTTTCCTGTTAACATCTGGGGCAGGGAGTGTGTGCTCCTGGCATGAAGTGGGCAGAGACCAGGGTGCCTGGCCCCCAGGGGACTCTCTGGCCCGACCGTGCACAGTGCCAAGGGGGAGAGGGCCGCTCTGGAGCCCGAGGTGGCCTCTCAGGGAGCCGACCCCACGGGTGGCTGGCAGTGGTGCGCAGAACTCGTGGGCCTGTGTTCAGTTCCCTTGGTGGGCTGTTAGTCGTGGGGCTGGCTTACTCGGTGTTGGCGCTAAGACGACCACGTCAGCCCTCATTCTTACTGGGCTGGGCCCGGCGCAGATGTGTTGACTGGCAGGCAGTCTAGTGGGGAAACACAAGGATCTGAGTCTTTCACCTCCCTGGGTGGAATGGAGCCTTGGAGTGATGGACAGGACCCAGAAGCACCCAGGGGTAGAAGTCCCAGTTCAGTCTTGTTGGGGAGGGCCAGGACGTGTCAGGGAAGGCTTCACGGAGGAGGTGATGTCTCTAAGGTTACCGGTAGGGTGAGGCTCCAGGCTTAGGAGGTGGGGCCATCCCAGCTGAGGGGAGGTGCCGGGTGGGCTGGGCTGGCTGACTGCACACCTCATCTACGTGGTTTGCAAGTTCCCCCAAGGCAGGGACCATGCCCCATTACCTTTGTTTCCCTTTGGGGTCCTGTGTCATTACGTGAATGTTGCTGAGCTAAACTGAGGTGTCTTCAGGGCCTGGTGACCGCGGGCTCTCCCCTCCTCCATGTTCTGCCCCACTCTTGTCCCTGCACCGGCCCCACGGCCCAGGGCCAGGCCAGGCCTCTGTTGAGGTGAGGGACCTGTGAGTGCCATTTCATGTGACTGTGCTCCTCGGAGCGGAGTTGTGTTTCTGGGGCCTGGACGCTGTGTTTCACGGGGCCCAGTGTGATCAGAGTGCTGCCTGCCCTTCCCACTGCCGGCATTGTGTCGGTGCCTGTCCCTTTATGGTGCGCCACCGTGGGAGCTCACGTCACCCCACGCAGCGTCCACAGGGCCTGCTGGCTGCCCTCGCCTTTGGCCTTCAGCCCTGGGTAGATGGCAGCCTGAAAGTTCCGGGATGCTGCAGCAGGGGTCTCCGGCTGGCCTTCCCCGCGCCTCCTGCTTACCTTTCGACTGTCCTGACTTTCTTAATCAGCGTCTGAGGTATCTGTACCTTTGTATCTGAAGTCAGATGCCCTCTGCTTGGTCTAGGGTGCCGCTGGCGTAATGGGGAGCCTGCGCCTTTGGCTGCGAAGGGCTCAGTGGGCGTGGCTGGGGAGGACTGTCCATCGCTGATGGGGACTGAGCTGCAAGTGGGTCCTGGGTGGACACTGGCTGCCCCGGAGGGGGACACTGATGTGTTTTCCACTTACAGTAGCAGGGAGACCTGCTGTTGACCTTCCTGCTTCCTCGGGGGGCAGGGGGCTTCACTGTGCCTTGCAAACCCTGCCCGTCCCATCTTAGAGGGGGACCGGATGTGTGCTCTGCTCAGGACGACGTGGTCCTTACATGTCGGAGTAAGTCACAGGGATGCTCTCTAAGATGGCGGAGAAGTAAAACTCAGCACGTTTGGTTCCGCGTTAGAACGAGGAATCCCTCCTCCCGCCCATCGTCTTTCCTGAGGAATCATGACGCACAGTGGAGTGGCAGATTCCGAGGGCGGGGAGGAGGGGGTCTGAGCATCGCTGCCCCGGGCCTCCCGGAGGGCAGGCCGGTGGGGACACCTCCTGCAAGCGAGGGGTCAGCCCTGCGGAGGGGCTGGGACTTTCTCTCCCCTCGACGCCCACCTCTACAGGCTTTTCTGGAAGCTTAACTGGGCCAGACACTGCTCCTCTGTAGCCTGAGGGTTTCTGTGTGAAGCCTTTCCGGGCCTCGATTTTAGGGTAATGAGTCAGCTCTGCGGGAAGGAGGGGGTCGGTGGGAGTCTGATAGCGGCGGCCAGGAGCCGGCATGTTTTCTTCACTTTGTTTGGTTCCCGCCCCATCTCCTGGAGTTGGTTTTTTCCTCTACTTTAAATTTCAGTTCTGGGAGATGTGACCATTCAAGGGTATTTAGACCTGGGGGTGTACAGCCTGGTGCTGCCTGTTCCTGTGGGCCCCTCGTTGGTCCCTGGTGGCTCTTTCTGAGTGGGTGTTGGGCCTTGGGCTCTTTTCTGTGGCTCTTCCTGTTCTGGGTTCCTGGATTTAACGCACGGTTTCACTTCGGCCCTGTGTGTCCCTGTCGGTGGGCCTTTGTGCGTGGTGGTAGGTGGTGCCCTGGGGCGGGGGGTGCTGGGCAGGCCTGCAACCTGCTGCCCCTCCCCTGCTTGCATGCGCTCTAGCTTCCTGTGCTTTCTCTTGGTGATGGTCCCTGCCCGCCTCCCTCATGGGGCTTGGGGAGATCCAAGGGGTGCAGTGCCTTTGTGGGCTTCATGCTCCTCCACGTGTGGCTCGGTGGCTTCCTTCTGTGCTCAGGCCCAGGTGAGCCCCACAGGCACCAGCAGATCCTTGGGTTGTGTCACCTGGGCAGGCCTGCTAGCAGTGGGGGAGCCGGGGGGGTCTGGAGTTTTCTGGTTGTCGTTTTGCTTTTGTGTGAGGCACGTCTGTTTTCCCATGGAGTAACGCTCTACCAGTAAGGCCAGTGGGCTTCTTGGGTGTTCACTAGTTTCACTTTATTGCCCCGGTCACGCGGGTCTGCACTGGCCGGTTACGGGAGGAGGGGATGGCTGTGGCACGGTGGCGTTCCCGAAGGGCAGGTGGCGCGGGTGGGAGCCTTCTTACTGGGGAACAGGGCCATGGGGGGGGGGGTCCAGGAGGCCATCCTCACCCCCTGCGCGCTCTCTCCCCAGACAGCGCCGGCGACACTGCTCCTCTGCAGTGGTCCCAGTCTCTCCCGCACTCGGTGGCGGCCGCCGTGGGTGGCACGTCTGACCCCAGCGCCCTCAGCAGCTCAGCGTTAAGTGAACGAGAGGCCTCCCGGCTCGACAAGTTCAAGCAGCTCCTTGCCGGCCTGAACACAGACCTTGGTGAGTCCCTCGCCGGCGGAAGGCACGTGCACCTGCGCCCCCACGTGTGGTTTACTTTGTCAGAGGGCGATGTGTTTGTGCCGTCCTGCGCGAGTCACAGAGATGAGCCGTTTGTCCTTGAGGTTTACTTCAGCTGTGTGTTGGTCATGGGCTTCCGGGGCCATTGATCCGGTATTTTCTGTTCTGTTCTATTTTTTAATGCTCCGATTGAACTCCTTTGGCTTCTTGGGGCTGAACTGGTTTGCTCCACAGGACTGGCCAGCTTGGTGTCCCTGCTTTTCAGAGTCTTCGTGGGGACACAGAGCTGGTGACCGGGGTCCTGAGTGCTGCTGACTTTACACCTTCCTTGGTGTAAAGTGTGGGATAGGCTGTGAACACCCCGGGAGCGCAGGCGGGGCTGGGGTGGGCGGGCCAGCAGGGGGCCGTACAGTCAGCAGTGTGGTTCTCGGGGGTCACCATGGCCGCGGGGCCGCTCTGCCACCAGGCTCTGAGGCGGGTGCTCGCCTCCAGGTCCATTTGCTGGGCTTCCCCTCGAAGCTGCGTCCTTTCCTCGGTACGTCTCATCTTTGCGGAGTGCCACGCTGCATTGGGCATCTTGCTGGCTGCGGGGGCTCTCCAGAAGGTGGTATGTGGCCGCGGTCACGAGATCACGCATGGTGGAGGGTGGGTGCCAGGGTGGCACGGAGGGCTGGCGCGCCTCGGCCGCAGTGGCCCGCTCCGCCAGCAGGTGGCGCGTGAGGCACGCGGCTGGGCTGCCCAGGAGGGAGGCGGGCGGAGGCGGAGCGAGCATGGAGCTGAAGGATAGGCCGTGTCCCTGAGGATGCTGCTCCCCTTGTGGGTGCAGAAGGGTTCCTCCCGCGAGTTTCTGCGTTTTCATTTTCCTGATTGATTTGCTCACGCACACGTAAGACAGTCACGCGGCACCAGAGGATGTGCGGTAAAAATGGGTCGCTCTCCTCTTCCCCAGCCCTGCTTTCCCTCCTTCGGGTGATTCCAGGTGTCTTCTTCCAGGGACAGGAAGGGAGGCCTCTCGTTCTCTTAACGCTGAGCTGCTGAGGGCGCTGGGGTCAGATCTCGCACATGACGATGCACGTGACGTCTTAAACCTTTTATTTAGGTGTAATTTCAAATGTAGAAGAAAGTTGCAAGAACGGGTTAGGGTTAGGATAGGTGACCCTGTGACCCATGCAGCCCCACAGTCAGCATGTTGGAGCCAGGAACACTCCCCCTGTGCTGAGCTCCCGGGCAAACCCTGCAGGTCCCCTCCCCTGGCTGACCCCCTGAAGTTTCTGTCCCCACCTGCCATGAGTTGGAAGTCCCCACAACCTCCTCTTCAGGTTTGGATAATCTGCTCCAGTGGCTCATGGAACTCAGAGAAACATGTGTGATTCTTGGGCAGCCATGAATCTCAGCTTCTTCATGATGGGGGGCAGCCCAGCAGCTGAGTGACCATGCAGGGCTGCCTCTGCTTTTATTTCATTTTTTTATCAGAAAATCAAGGGCAGTTGCCTCAAAGCGTGGGAGAGGAGGACAAAGGGATGGCAAGTATCCTGAAGCGGTAAAGCAGTCCTGCACCCTCCCCTAGGGGCAGGCACTCAGGGAGGCAGTCATGGGATAAGGGGAAAGTCGGATGTTTGTGCTAGCAAGCACCAGGTGCAGAAAGGGGACCTGAGGGTTACATTCTTTCCTAGCTCCTAACCTGTGCCCTGCCCCTGGGGATCATGGGATCCTGCTCCTACTGGGCCCTTGCGTTCAATAGTCTGAGAACAGGAACGCTGTTGACCTTTCAGCTGCTTCCACAATCACTCCTGTGGGCTTACAATATATTTTCTAAGAATAATTCCACACTTCCTCCGTGAGGTGGACTACCTGGTATGCACAGAGGTGGATATGAAGTTCTGCGACCACGTGAGTATGGAGATCCTGTCCCCCCTCTTTGGCACCCTGCACCCCGGTTTCTACCAGGCAGCCCACAAGGACTTCAGCTACGAGCATTGGCCACAGTCGCAGGCACACATCCCCAGGGACAAGGGCGACTTTTACTACATGAGGACCTTTTTGCAGGGTCGGTGGTAGAGGACCAACTGACCTTGGCCTGTCACCAGGCAATGGGGGTCAACCTGGCCACTGGGATTGAGGCTGTGTGGCACAATGAGAGCCACCTGAACAGGTACTTGCTGGACCATAAGCCCATTAAGGTGCTGTCCCCAGAGGACCCGTGGGACCCTCAGCTGCTGGGCTGTCCCCGAGAGGACCTGTGGGACCCACAGCTGCTGGGCTGCCCCTGGAGGACCTGTGGGATCCACAGCTGCTGGGCTGCGCCCCATCATGAAGAAGCTGAGATTCATGGCTGTGCCCAAGAATCACCAGGACATCAGCAGTGGTTATTACTTGAGGAGTCATTTTGGTGCCCACCAGGTCTTTCACTTGAGTTAACAGATGAGCCCGAAGGAAGGACGTCATCAGTTAGGAAGTACAGACGAAGGTCAGAGTGGAGGTGGGCAAAGGCCTCTTTAACTCAGAGAGCGGGGGAGCCCCGAGGTTCTTCTACACACCTTGCCCTGCTCATCGATTCCAGCTGCCTGGCTCTGAGTTCTGTCCTTTTAATGAACTGGTCATCTAGTAAGTAACATGTTTCTCTGAGTTCCATGAGCCACTGGAGCAGATTATTCAAACCTGAAGAGGAGGTTGTGGGGACTTCCAGTCTGTAGCCCATAGCTCGGAAACAGGGGTGACCTCTCTGCCCAGCCACTGGCTGACCACTGAGTTAACAGCACAGGGATTCAGTGGCCACACACGGCAAAGAATACAGACTTGACAAAGTGAGTTCAGAAAAGTCACTAAGCCAACAGTAGCAACTACAACGAGCAGCAATCATGAAGCCTGGAGTGGGGAAGGTCTGATGTTCAGGATGCTTCCATTATAATATTCATAATCACACCCTGGACTTGTCACTGGGGCCAAGTCCCCCGGCTGGGGGTCAGGTAGCTCCTACATGTTCCACGTGCCTCTCTCTGGCTCCCCCAGCCGTGCACAGTCCTATGCTGCTTCCCAGCAGAGGTCAGTTTTAACCAAAGCCAGGAAGATGGGATGGGTTTTCCTGACTCCCCACCCCCTGCCCCACAGGGCTGCAAGAGAGGAAAAAGGTTTCCTCAACCCTGTTAAGGTCCCCGGCTGAGTCTGGAAATTGACAAAGACAGATGAACAGGAGAAAAGCAAGCAAAATGTATTGATTGCTTTGGTGGGAGCCTCACAAGACCATGAAGACCAGCAGAGGTGACTGGAGCAGACAGCTCTTCTACCTTTTAGACAAAGAAGCAGTAAGTGTGTGAAGAATTGACAGACGCAGGGGTTTGGACTAGGGCTCGTAAACGGTAAAGAAGTAACTAGGAAGATAAGGGTTAGTTTAACCAGGTGTGTGTGTATAGACCCCGTGGTCCTAAATTCCTTGACTCTGGTGATAAGCACGTCATCTCTGTGGTCCGGGGAGAGAAAGTTCCACATGGCAGTCTTCTGACCTGCTTAAGGGAAAAAGGGCTGATGGCTGGGGGTCAGAGAGACCTTCTTGCTTTGCTCTATGCAAAAGTTCTTTTAGCTTCTGTATTTATTTTGCCAAGGTGCCGTATTTGGGGTAGTGTGTCCTAACCCTCACTGGCCTGGTGCTGTACTCTGTCTCCTAGTATCCAGGACATTGGATGTGCTTCTGTGGAGACCTTCCAGCCCTGGGGTAGCCCCTTGTCCAGGGAGGCACCTGCCTCAAGGGGAGGGTCGCTAAGGGTGGCCGCCCCTCCTCAGGGAGATTGGGTGGGAGAATGCAGATCTTACTTCGAGAAACTGACTTTATTTCCTGAAAAGGTCTACCTGATAGTGGGATCATACGGGAGTTCTTTTTTTAGTATTTTGGGGAAGCTTCATCCTTTTCCCAGCATGGGTGTGCCAACCAAAGTCAATTCCAGATGATTTTTACCTATAAACCAGAGATTTTGCAAGAACCTCTCCAGCAGAGAACATGAGGAGAACAGTTTCAAGACCTTAGACAGGCAGAGATTTCCCAGGATGCAAAATATACTAACCATAGGAACAAACCGGTGACTTAGAAACTATGAAATGAAGAACTGGCTCTCCTTCTTCCATTTCTGGCTAGTGTGCTGGTCTGTGGCTCGATCTCACCTCAGGCAGCTGAAAGGTTGACCTCCCAGGTCAGCTACCACTGAGATGGCTACTGTTTCTAGAAATTCTTCGGGGTGTGGCCGGTTTTCCCCACCTGCGCACTGATCAAGTCGGCGACCTCGGACAGTGGAGCCACGGGTCCTCCAGGCATGGTTCCCCCCCAGTGCCCCAGTAAAGCCATTCCACTGAGGGTTTAGGGGGACCGGAGCTGCCCCTAGGCAAAAACACCAGAGGTTCTCACTGTCCCTACCTGGCCTTCAGATGCTCCTCAGTTACTCCTGTGCCTCTGGTGTCTTCCTGGAACCCTGACCTGGCTGGTTTTGGACAGTTTGTCCAGTGGTACCCTCACTTTCTGGGAGGGGGATTTGCTGGAATCCGCAGTGTGTCCTGCAGCCCCACCGGGATCACTTTTTGAAGGCACGTCGCCTGGGCCATCTGAGGACTCAAGACTGTGGGTCTGTGGCTTGGAGGGATTCTGAGCAGCTGGTGGGATTCTGAGCGCTGGTGGGATGGGAGGGCTGCAAGGCCCAGAGGCAGGTTTCCAGGAAGCTGTCTGGGGTCCCCGGCATCCTGCCGTTTTTGAATCAAAGCCCTGAGATCTTTAAAATGCCAGCAACGTTACAGCATGGGCCAGAAAAGCAAATGTCCCTGTGCACCCAACACCACCTAAACTATTGGCCATTTCTTGTCACTTGAGTTGAGTAGAAAGGATTGGGAGTCAGGGCTTGAGGGGGGTCCTGGGTCAGACTTTGTGTTTGGGGGACAAAGGTCATCCGGACAAGCTTGTGCTGAGGCTGAGGAGGGGGTCTGTGTGGAGACCCCAGCTGCAGGCACTGCTGTCCAATGATGCCCCCTCAGCCCGACCCAGTGCACCTGCTGCTGGGGGAGAGCCTGCCCCCTCCTCTCTGCCTGAGGGCTCTCTCCTGCACGAGGTGTGCCTCCTCCCCTGCCAGTCACTGCCAGCCTGCAGCCTGGGAGGGTGGGAGGGTGGCTACCCCGAGTTCCTGCAGCTGCTGGGGGAGCGCCTGCCCCCTCCTCTCTGCCTGAGGGCTCTCTCTCACACCAGGTGCCTCCTCTCCTGCCAGCCACTGCCAGGCTGCAGCCTAGGAAAGTGGCTATCCCGAGTTCCTCCAACTGCTGGGGGAGCGCCTGCCCCCTCCTCTCTGCCTGAGGGTGTATCCTGCACCAGGTGCCTCCTCCCCTGCCAGTCACTGCCAGCCTGCAGCATGGGAGGGTGGATACCCTGAAAACCTCCAGCCCTGTGGACAGAGTCAGTGCAATGTGGTCTCCCAGCAGGTCTGAGCACCAGGCCCCCACATTGCTCACTCTCGTCCTATGGGCTCAATGTGCCACATCCTCCCTCAGGCTCCCTGGGTCCGAGTCCTCCTCTGCTCGTGGACCATCCTTGGCCCAGGCTCCACACGCTGGGACTGGGAGCGGGTCGTCTGGACGATCTGGACTCTCGCTTCTGTTCCCGTGACACGGGCACAGGCCGGCCTCACAGACTGCTCAGAGGAGACTCAGCACAGGACGATGCAGGTCGCTGTAAGGGGAGATGCCAAGTGACCCCAGAGGGAGCGCACAGGCCTTGCAGAAGGCGCTGGGCTCATGGGGCTCAGTGTGGGATGCGGGCGCCCAGCCAAGGGGCATGGGGAATCCTGGTGAGGGCGGCCCTGGCAAGTGGGGGAGGGGGAAGCCACAGAAGGGTCTCAGAAGAGGCAGGAGACAAGGAAGAGGACAGGACAGAGCTTCCCAAGGAGGTCGATGGAAGGATCAAAGGATCACAGAGACCCTTGGGGAAACTCGGAGGCCCTGGAGATGTTGGCTGAAATGCTGTCATTTGGTCAGAAAAATTGTGTCACAACTCCCCAGTTGACACTGGATGATTTACTCTTTGTTGGTTCTAGGAATCAGTGCATACCTGCCATTAGAACTCACATGGCATGAAGTCTAGGACATACTTACTTTTCATCACTTTTCAGGACGAGATTTTTCTAGAGGAGGTGCTAAACACGGGTCTCTCCATTCTTTTCTTTGTGCGACTGGCCTGTTTCCAGGAGCAGATTCCTAGTGCTCATCGCCAGAGCTAGCCGTGAGGACTGCCCCCCATCACCTCCCACAGTGGACGTGACCATGTGGGTTGGGGGGTGCTCACTGATGAAGCCCCAGTGCTCAGTACCCAGCAGGGACCCCAGATCCTGTGCTGAATGAGGGAGGATGGGAGTGAGGGAAAGAGAGAGGGAGGGACGATGGGAGAGAAGGAGGGGAGAGAGGGAGAAGGGAAGGGAGGATGGGAGGGAGGCAGGATGGGGAGGGGGAGGGGAGAAAGGCAGGAGGAAAGGGAGGATGGGAGGGGTAGAGGGGAGGGAGGGAGGCAGGGAGGATGGGAGGGAGGCAGAGAGGCAGGGAGGGAGGGAGTGGGGGAGGGAAGGGAGGAGTGGAGGGGAAGGAGAGAGAGGGGGGAATGAATGAGTGAATAAATGACGTAGGGAGGGAGGGAGTGAAACCACAGAAGCTGGATCTGTACCTCAGGAGCCATTATTTGGGGTGAGGTCCGAGGGCATGACAGCCTGGGTCCTGGATGGTGGCTCAGGGCACGTCCATCTGTCCTCCCAGTGCTGACCTTCCTTCTCCTTGGACCCGGTGTCATCCTGGATCCTCTCCATCCCCTCCTCAAACAATTCTCAATGTTCCCAGGAACAGGGTGGCAGGAGGGGTCTCAGGAGGGGCTTCCAGGATCCTGTGCTCCGAATGACAATGTGACAGTGGCTACAGGGCATTCTATCATGAGGACTGGGACCATGGATCCCCTCCATCTCCTTGGGCATTAGCGTTGTTCCATTCCCTGCTCTCTCCACCACCGCTGTGATGAACACTCCTGAAAGCAGATCTGTGAAAAACC